AGTAGAAATGCTGCTAGTCTTTCCCCTTGAATACAAGTCACTGGCTTTAGGATTAAAGTGTGTATATTTTGTCATGTTAAGAGTATAACCCTCAATTCCTATTTTCTTTAATTTTTATAAATGGGTTTTAAATTTTATCAAAGTCTTTTTCAGTTTCTGTGGAGATCCTATTATTTTTTCCTTAGGTTTATTAATATGGTGAGTGATACTGGTAGATATCCTAATATTGAATACATCTTTCACTTCTGGAAAAAGTCCTCCTTGGTCACGGTATGTAGTTTTCTTAGTGTGTTGTTGGATTCTGTTTAGTATTTAATTTAATATTTTTGCATTGATATTCATGAGTGATGCTGGTCTGTAGTTTTCTTTCTTTGTTCTCTTTATCTGGTTTATCAGTGTTATATTTGCTCCATAAAAGGAGTTGGGATGTTTTCCTTTGTTCTCAGTGCTCTGGAATAACTTATGTAGAGTGTTGGGACTATCTGGTCTCTGAAGGTTCGGTAGAATTCACCAGTGAAGCCGTCTGGTCCTGGTGCTTCTTGTGGGGTACTTGCTTAATAACCCTCTCTGTTTCTTCTTTGGGAATCATCTGCCTAAGATTTCCAACTCTAATGGGGTCAGTTTTGGTCATCTGAATTTCCTTAGGTAGTTGTCCATTTCATCTACATTTTCTAATTTATTTGCATAGAGATCTGCAAAGTAGTCTCTCAACAATTTTTAAAATTTCTTCTGTTTCGTTGATAATTTCCCCCGTGTCATTTCTTACTGTCTATATTTGTGCTTTCTCGCCTTTTCTCTTGATCAGGTTAGTTAGTGGTTCGTCTATTTGGTTAATTCACCACCAGCACCACCCACCCCCCCAAAAAACAGGATTTAGATTTATTAGGTAGATCTACTGTTTTTCAGTAGGAAAACCTCTCCCTCATGAATTTGCTTTTCCCTCCCTGTTTCCTTCCTCATGTTTTCTTTTGGGTTACTGTGTTGTTCTTTTCCTAATTTTTGTGAGCTAATGTTTATTAGTTAATTTTATTCTTTCACTGTTATTTATAAAAGTGTTAGTATAATGAATTCTTCTCTGATTACTGCTTTAAATGCATTCCATAGATTCTGATATGTAGTGTTCTGATAATTATTTTTTTAAAATTCTGTACTCTCAGATTGTATTTCCTCTTTCACCTAAGAGTCAATAATAGAATTTTTAAATATCCGGGTGGAAATGCCTTTCTGTTTTTTTGTTTTTGTTAATAAGGTATAGTTTTATTGCATTATGATCAGCAAGTGTTGTTTTCAGTATTTCTACCTTATGGAAGTTGTTCATGTTTTCTTTGTGACCTAATATATGATCAGTTGTTGTGAATGTGCCTTAGGTTCTTGAGAAGAATGCATATTCTCTATTATCAGGTGTGGAGTTCAGTGCATATTCATAAGATCTACCTTGATTGATAACGTTGTTTAGATCTTCTATCTCCTTACTTATTTTTTGCACACTTGCTCTGCCTTGTACTGAGAATGATGTATTAAATCTCCTAGGATTGGTATGTTTCTAACTATCTCTTTCATCTCCTGTAGTGTTTACTTCATAAAGGAGGTGGTGGTTGTATTATTTGGTGCATAGATGTTCACAAACATTGTGTCTTCACTGTAAACTGGCTTTTAGCATTAAGTATGTCCTCTGTTGTGTTTAACACTTTGGGGCTTGAATTCTATTTGGTCTACTCCTGCTCTCTTTTTGTTTTCATTTGTCAGGTATAACTTTGTCCACCTTTTAATTTTTAGCCTTTCAGAATCACTTTTTCTTAGATGTGCCTCTTATATACAGCATATAGTTGGGTCTTGTTCTGTGAGTCAAATTAGAAACCTTTTTCTTTTAATAGGTGAATTAAGTCCATTAATATTTATTCATATGACTGATTTGTTTGCTTGCCACTCTATCATAATATTTTATAATTATGTATATTTTGTTATATTGTTTCTTTCTCCATGAGATCTGTATTCTTTGATCTTTTATTGGGATTTTTAATTTTGGATTTCGGAGGATGTGTATTTTCTAGTGATTACTTTTGTATTTAAACCTATTTTAATATCCTTAGTAATCTGTTATTTAAGTCTTTACTGTCTGATTTATCAGTTTTTTCTGGTACTGTTTAACATGCACCTATTGCTTATACAATATTGGCATATACATAATCAGAATTTTTCCTCTTCTTCCTTCATCTCCCATTTCTGCTTTGTCACAGTGTACAGTATTTGCGTATTAGTCTTTCAGCCTAACCCCACTTTTATTTTAGTCCTAGAGGTACATCTAAATACTTTTAAATGCTTACCATGAATCCTTTTGCTGGAATTTTCCCAGCCATCACTCGGTTAGATAAAACATACCCTCACGTAGAATCCTCCAGAAGGGCTGATGGGTGAGGTATTCTCTAAATTCATGTATGTTGAGAACTGTTTTCTGTAGTCTTGATATTTAAAGGACAGCTTGTGGATTTAAAATTCTTGGTTCATACTTTCTTTCATTGAGTTTCTAAAAAATGTCGCTCCGTTGTCGTCTTACTTATGTGTTGGTTTTGAAAAGCCTGATTGCTGGTCCAGTTTTTTGCAAGTTCATTGATGTTTTCTCCCAGGGGCTTTGAGGATTTTATCTTTGAAATCTGATAGTTTCATTAGGATGTGTCTCAGAGTTGATCATTCTGCGTTAATTTTCCCAGGCACCCTGTGAGCCCTCACATTTTCAGATCCTGTTCTTTTTCTGTTTCTGGAAGTTTTCTTAAATGATAGTTCTAAGTATCAGCTTTGCTCTATTGTTTTGTTTTCCTCTTCCGGGAGCTCTGATTTATGGGCGTTATTCCTTCTTTGTCTCCCATGCCTGCTGCTTTCACCTTGCCCTTTTTACTGTCTTTATGTCATTTTCCTCCTCTTGGTCGTGCTCCTGTCTTTCCTCGGTACCGTTTATTAATCTTCATTTGAATCTATTCTCTTTGGGTGCTTTGTGATGTATGCCTCGTTTCTGCGATGACTTTGTCTTTCCCTTCCGTCACTTTCCTGAGCTCATTCAACTCTCTTCCTTTCTCCCTGTTTTGTCCCTTTCTGTCTTTAATTTTACATTTCTAATTCAAGGTGGTTTTTTGTATCCTCAGATGTTTGTTTGAATTTGTTTATTATGTTTCTAGGGTGTTGGATTACAGTTTTCTTTTGCTTCATGGTTGTTTTTCAGGAGGACATTTTTATGGTATTGCGGTGTTTTTACAAGATTGCTAGTCCAGTGGCGCCTCTTGTGTTGGTTTGACCAAGTCCAGGTGCTGCACACTTGTTGTTTTGGTGACTGATGGGGAGAGTGTGAGTCTCCTGATATTATGGTCCTCCTTCTTTGCAGGACCCTAAACTTTCCCTGGTTCTTTTTATCTTCACTACCCAGTTGCCAAAGGGCACTTCTCCCTTCCTCTTTTGCATTTTTTCTTCCCCAGAAACTATGAGTTGAAGGATCCCTCTTCAGATGGTGTCTGTCCATTTAAACTGTGTGGACTGTGGAATCCCTTCCCTGAGTCCATGCTCTGGTCTGCTCAGGGACTTGCTGAGCTCTTCCGTGTTTGTAGTGGGCTTCCCAGGGATGCAGATCACGCTCACCCCATGCTGGTGCCCCTCTGCTGTTGTTCGTGGTTTTTCCTTCTGCCTTGCTCCCCACAGAGCCCACCTTGTGGGTATGGGCTGGCAGCACGAGGGGACCCCACACTGGGGTTTGGTGGCTTTTCTCTTTTTACTAGCATTATTTTCAAATTTCGGCACTCTCTCTCTTTAAGTTATGCCAGGGATATAGTTTGATGTAGAATTTACTTTTGCCCTTTCTGTAGTTTCATTTTGTTTGGGAAGAACTGTAGGGAAGTAGGTGAGCTACATGGTCTCCCTTGTCTTCAGCCACCTGGAGGTCAAGCACTTACCCCAAAAGATTATTCTGCCTGGTTTAAGGGGCCAGAGTTCAACATTTTTCATTTTAATCTTTAAGTATCTCTTTTAAGACGTGTTAGAGAACAGTAAAATTAGCAGTCTAAACCCTTGATATAAGGTTTCTCTATTGAATAAATCCATTAAATTTTAAAAAGTCAGTTTGGAAAATACTAAGCAAATACTAGTACAGATAATAAACAAATTTGACACAGATAATGATGATGGTTTGCAAGTGACTGAGGAAGTTGAGGAACTGCTGGTTTAACAGGAAGTGTCTTCTGCTTCGGACAGGAGCTGTCCAGCGTCCGGGCCTGCTGTCTGGCCCCGTAACCCCGAGACAAGCACTGGCATCTGGCGAAGGGCGACTCCATGGCCATTTGCCAAGGTCCCCCCACCTCTGCACCTCTGTGGCAGTGAAAATATTGTTACCCCGCAAAATACACAAAGTCTTGGGACTTTGAGAGTGAATAATTTTGCCTTTAGCATTAGAAGATTGCTTTGGTAATTTATCTTCTTTAGTTCACGGGGAAGCAAAAACTAAATGCTAACTTTCCCGGAGGTTATCTGTTATGGACTGTGTGTGCAACTTTTGAAATAAATAACATTAATTTGTTCTTCAGTGTCAGTAAGAGAAAGAATTATTCACATGTGAATTATTCATATTGTATTAAGAAAGTTTGTAACTTAATACTAGGCAAAATGTGTTGAAGCATATAACTAGTTTCTTGAACAGAATTTATAGGTTTTTGTACATTTTCAATATCAGTAAACCAGTCACAATAGTTCATTATAGGAGTTTTGGCCAAAATTGTTAAAATGACTATTTTAAATCTATAAAGCTAAGTAAATATCAGACAATGCTAGAAATAATGAGGTTAAATGTAATTGATGGTGGTTACTCCTGAAAGATAAAGTTTAAAGTTGTCTCCTCAAACGTCCTATAAACTTTCCCAGCTCCACAGGGGTCTATATTTGCAGCTGAAGTTTTCAGAAAGCAAATTCAATTAGAGTGTTGTGTGCTTTATGAGGCCTCTCAAGTGAAATTTTGTTTGTTGCAGAAACGGGTGTGCAGGAGATTAGAAGCAGCTGCACAGGAGTGGCGCTGCCCCCAGGTGGAGGCGGGCCCCCTGGCATTCTGGAGCATTGAGAAGCTGGAGTCACAGCCCAGAGGCCCGCCCCCTGCACCACGGCTAGAGAGCGGCCAGGGGCGACCAAGTACGGGGGTAGGTTCCTGTTCCCACCAAACCAGCTGTGAACCCATTTAAATATTTTCATAAAAAGTGTAAATAATCATTGTTCTGATAACATCTGTGGCTGTGATTTGTTAAATAGATTGCTCAGAATGGTGGAAGGAGCTCGGCACAGCCTTGCCTGAGATGTATTGCGGGAGAATCTGTAAGTGCATTAACCTTCTTGCTGTGACATAAAAGATAGACTTGTTTTTAAATATTAGATCCATAAAACAAAGTTAATAAAAATGGCAATTATGTTTCTAAGGAATGAGGGATGTAAATAAAAAGGTGCAGATTGATTTAAGCTTTTCTTAGCATTCTACTGAGGTGCAAACTAATTTATATCCAGCTTCAAATTAGAAATAGAAATTGAAAATACATTTAAAATTCTTTCTAAAAGCAGTGTTCAGGGAAGGGAACAGGCGGCTGGATATCACTGAAATAGAGATCATTTAAAAACATCTTGGAGAAAAGATCTACCCTCATATAATTATCCAAATGGGAATCAGTGTTGTTTTTTCTTTTCCCTGTTTAAGCTTTTCTTTCATGTTTCCATAAACTTCACATAAACTGCAGATTTCAGAAGGAGAAACACAGTATTCACACCATTAATTCAAAGTAAAGGGAGGTCTAACACTGCCTGAGTGGATGCTCAATCTTTCCGATGGGGTGGAATATCATAAAGGATACATTAGCATAATAATACCTCTGTTATTAATTTTGAGCTTATTCTAAGAACAAGTTAATATGTCTTTGATAACCTCTGTAATTCCTGGGGTTTTTTTTTAATTTTAAATTTGGAATCTTAATATTGCAATAAAATAGAATTGTGTTTAATTTCTACACAGAAACCAGGAGTGTGTGTGTGTGTGTGTCTGTGTCTGTGTGTGTGTCTGTGTATTTCTGCGATTGCCCCCTAAAGATTTTTAGAGAAACATATTGCTCTGTTTTTGATAAGTGAAAGATTGAGTCAATAAAGTATAGAGATCTTCAGTTGACACACTGCAGGCTACTGTGTTTTACAGTGAAAGGCAATGATTTTTGTTTTAAACCAAGATCTAAAACCGTGTCAGCTGTCACCCACGTGAACCTCTGATTATCTAAAGTCATTGGATAAATATGAAAACAAAGCTTACTGTCAAACTCGTGCCGTGAAGGTGTGCTTTTTGTGCTCTCTTTTCAGGAAAATTTCCACAGTTTGTGTTGCATTCCATGGGGTAATTCTGAACAATGGTGAAATAAAAAATTCAGCAATTTGAACTTACTATATTTAGGTTGATTCATACAATTGCCAGACATTCCCCAGAATGCAAATAAATGATATTTACCTTGAGAAATCTGACCCCATTATGGGTAAATTGCTTTAATGCTGGTGACTAGTAACCATCCTTATTCTCTTCCTCTTTCCATGGAATGTATCTTTCAAATCCCCCTATCTGTTGGGCAAACACTTGGAATGTAATATGGATTCTTAATTCTCTGAGAGGTTGTGTTCTGGCATGAATGGCTTAAAGGAAAAAAATTTGGCTCAAGCAACTGATTGGATCATTTTGGCTAATATTCTGTTTGAACAACAGTACCTGTTTGATTAGGGTTTTTCCTTCCTTTGTAATTCCCCAAGCTTGCCTCTGGAAATGAATCTATGAGCAGAAAACCTATGTTGATATGTAAATATATCATTTTTTTGTTAATGCTTGATATTCTTTTCATCTAAATTTCAGAAACCAACTTTTAAAAAAATCAGTTTCCCTTTATTTGTAGTTATTCTCAATAAAATTTCACCCAGGCTTGGGTGATTTAATATTTACACCCACTATTTCTAAAAGTCTTATGTAAATAAAGATTGAAATGTGAATTTGAAAAGTCACACCTCTTGATATTTGAACAGACTATAGCTGCATATATCTTCTTTTTCTAATAATATGGCTAGTTTCCCTCCTAAGCTTTTAAAATAATAAGACACTATTTTTGTATTCTAGAACGTCAAAAGGTTCAGTGTTAAATAAAAAGCAAATAGTATTTTTAGGAATGCATGATCCCAGGGAGAAGTGCTTCACAGTAATTCACCGATGGGCAGCAATTCCAAATTTCAGAAGACTTTATTAAATACAGCTCCATTCACAAATGCGTACCCATTTACACACGAGCGCACCCCCTGTCCTGGCCCACAGTTCCCGTAGCTGACCCAGGGTGGCAACCTGGGGTCAAAGAGAAGCAAAGGTTATGTCGGAGTAGTTTGTGTGGGATTCCTAACAGGAAACTTGCATATGATTCTCAGCTTATATGGTGCTTTTCCCCAATAAGCTTCGTATCCTAGTTCTCTGGTGTATTCTGACCTGTCACAGTAGGCTATCAGCTGGTCCCCTCAGTTCTGCTCTGAATTCTCAGCGTGGCTGCCTCGGCACCTGAGTTCCTGTTGTCCTTCTGTTCCTGAGCTCTTCCTTATTTTTACCATGAGTCATTTCTCACGTATGCAAGGACTTGACTTCTCACATACGCAAGGACTTTTTCTGTAGACCTTCTCAAATTCATTTTTCAAGTTACAGTGATTACAGTTTCAGTAGTTGCTGACATAGTTTCTTACAGTGATCACTATTAAGGATCAGCTCCTGGTACTGGTTACTATTTAGGAACATCTCCTCTTTGCCCTGAGTCACCTTGCTCATGTTACTGACAACTGGAATGAAACCATCCTCTCTATTCTTGTGGTGGGTCTTGGTGTTATGTCATGCAGGGTGTCCCCCCATCTCCCAGGGTCAGGCTGCCCTCTCTGCTGTGTGCCGTCCAGTGTGCAAGTCTGGAGGCAGTGCCAATGGTCACTGTAACTGGCAGACTTCCTTTCCTCCACAAATGGTTGCAAAGCTGGACTGTGAGCTCAGAGCAGGCTTCCTTTCTCGGGTCAGCTCAGCTTGCTTGGCACAGGGGTCCGTGGTAGCCAAGTGTAACGTGGAAATCACAGTATTCTTTGCAAATTCAAATCCATTAAATGAAACCTAACAAGACTGCCAAAGTTCTCTAAAATAATCAAAAGAAGATACATGAAAAGCGGGGCCATTGTAATATATAAGACAGAAAACTATAGGAAGGACAGATTTAGGATGTTCATTGAGGTGGAAGGTGCTGTTTCCTCGCCTCGTGTTTTCCGAGGGGCATCTGGTCTCTGACACTCTGTAGCTCCTCAGCGCTGGAGTCCATCAGGGAAGGGGCCACCCTCAGGTTTTATTGAGTCAGTGTGACAGTCAGTTGCCTTTCTCTCAGCTGTGTCCCCACCTTCATCTCCCCTGCTCCCTGTTGTGGGAACTGCATTTCTAGCCACTGGAGCATGGTAGGAGGGTGGGGAGGAAGCCAGGGCATTTCTCCATCCCTTCCCCAGGGCAGCCTCTCAGGGTCCCAGCTCCTGCAGAGATGTCCCCCCATGGTCCCAGCTCTTGGGTGGTGCCTGGGCTCTGTGGTCACCGTCCTCCTCCCTGTCCTCTCAGCCTGAAGGTGAGGCTTCCCACTGTGTCTCGCCTGCCCTTGTGTGGCTTCTCTTCTCTTCCATCATTTGTGTAGTCAAATCCCACGTTAAATTCCCTCTGTTTGAAATACCTAGATTGGTTTCTGTTTTCTGACAGGACCCTACCTGGGCTCATCAGCTGATGAGTGGACAGATTCTCCTGAAAGAAAAAAGAAAAAAGGTTGCTGTTGTAAACATAGGCCTCGGGGCCCTGGGTCTTGACCCGCGCTCAGGGCTCAGGGCTCGGGCTCTTAGTCCAGCAGCCTCAGCTTTGGAGTGCTTGTGGAGCCAGTCCCCACTGTGAGTCCCACGGGTGGTGTGGAGAGCCTGCGGTTAAATTGCAGATCACAGGTGGGATTGAATGTTGCCCATCACTGGTGTTCCTTTGGTTTCTTTTATCTGGGGTTATTGGGTTGTATTACCCAAACTAGTAGTGAGTTCCTACCTAAAAGCCAACATGCAGACATGACCGTTTGGTGTTGTGGACTAGTCCCCCGGCTCCGCAGCACTGATTTTGGATACCAGCCTGTTCATTAGTGTTGAGGGCAAATACTAAGGGGGTAAGCTTAGTGAGGCTCTGTGTTATTCACTTTTTGACATTGAAATCCATTGCCTGACAACAGGGGGTGTATGTGGCAGGGCAGAGAGGCTGGCAGTGCAGGAGTAGATAGAGGGCGAGCGAGGGGGTGTTGGGTCCAAGGCTGTTGTGTGGGCTTAGTTTTCTCCTATAGGGACAGCAGGAGGAGCCCAAGTATGATTATTATTCTGATTCTAAATAGATACACTTTTTTCTTGGTACTTCTTTTTATCTTCATATGGTGACCTTTAAAATATTTATTTTATTTCCCTATCTGTGTTATTGGTAGTTGCTTCCCATGTCTGTAGCACCTATAAATACTGCACTGAAGCAGGAAGGGACCCGGAACCTGGTGTAAACAAGATTTCTGCCTTCTCCCGCGCCTGTGGCGACAGCAGCAGTGCCACCTATGCTTGATGCTGCAGGCCCAGGCGTCGAGCCGGGGACAGAGGCCACGGATGAAAATGCGACGTTCTGACGTAGATGAAGAAAGACCGATGTGCAGAGGTTCGCTCTTTGCATCCTGTTTCAGCAACAGCTAGTTCTTGTCAGTCCTTTATTCTTGTGTCCTGAGAGAGGAAAACACAAACCATGGAGGGGTCAACGGGAGTTTCATTGATCATTCTGTAAGAATCAAATTGTGCTGCATGCGTTTTTCCCCTCAGTTTGGAGAGGGTCCTAGAGTTCATCGGTCTAACCCCATCCGTTTACAGATGAAGAAGTGAGGTCCACAGGGGTTAAGTGGTGGGCCTGCCATGCCCCGTGGTGATAGGCAGGCTGGGCCCCAGCTCG